GTTGGTGAACTGAATTGTCTGTCAAATGTTACCCCAGGTGATGGTTTGTGCTCATCAACTGTGTATTGTTGGGTGTACAGAAGTTAGCTCTGGTTATCATGATGTTAACGTGACTGGTGAACTGAATTGTCTGTCAAATGTTACCCCAGGTGATGGTTTGTGCTCATCAACTGGTGTATTGTTGATTGTACAGAAGTTAGCCCTGATTTTGGCAAGATTGCTGACCATTCCTGTGTCATTGCACGCTTTAGTAACCCTGCTAAGCGATGGTTGTATCTTGTTTTTTATTTCTCTTACACCACAATGTAACCCACAGAATTTGGTTGGGTTGTCAAGGTGGGCTGGATCATTGATGTAGATGTTGAAAAGGTTTTGTGAGAATGGTGATATTTAAGGCAGAGTAGTGTTTACTGTGATACACTCTTATTACCAGTTTTAATGCTTCATGATGCATCTTCTGATAGTTAGTGCAGCTACAACCCATCCTACATTTGATACTCTTGAGCCCATTCTGGGTATTTTGTCAGAAGGAATAGACAACTAGACACAATAATAGGCATTTTCCAGATCTAAAGCTGTTGCCAAGGTGTCCTGACCAGATTCCTTTATATAAACTGCGAATTCAGCAGCTTTGATCCAGGTTTCTCTTTACATTATAATAACCACCTAATAACGATGGTATTAGTGATTCAGTCTGAGAAGAAAATATTTTAGCTACAACCTTTCCTGACATCTTGCCAATGATATTTTTACTACAATAATTCAATGGTCTTTAAGACGAGAGTGATTCTTCATGGGTTTGGATAATGGTTCGCTAAAGATATATCCATATTTCATGGATGCTACTTGTTGCCCAACTATATTGATACTCCAACAAGAGTCTCAATAGGTTGTCTTTTGTAAGCTATTTAAAAGTGGGGATTCTTAAAACATTCAGACCTGGAGCTTCATATTCAGATGTATCTATGACTCTGTGTATCTTGTCCAAGTTAAATATGTCTTTCAGATCCACATGTTATTGCAGCTTATATAGGAATTTCTGTAGCTTGAGCCTTTTCTGCACGCCACCATTGTTACATTGGTTAATGCATCTGTACATAAAGGTCTTGCCTTGGACTTCATCTGTATGGTATGGGGTATCATCATCATCGTAAATGACTGATGTTACTGTGTTTTGGTTTTCGCGACATCCATACACTTGCCGGAGCTCCAGAATGAAGTGCTTTTGGGATATGTTCTTGTTGCATAGTTAATTCCATTTCATGCCACTTGCTTTGGAAGGTGAATGCCTGTAAATAGCACACGCTTTATTCCAGACAGTTTTTGCCTCTTTTGCTTGCACTGGGTCATGCCTTATTCTCATGAATTCAATCTGGGCTTGACTGTGTTCTTTTTAGACTTTATTAGTATCATTATTCCACAAATATGGGGTGGTCCTTTTGCAGAAGCAGGTGATTTGACTTTGCTTCATGGTGAAGAGATGACTGAAGGTACGACACTGTCTGAAAACTTTTCATCCCTGTGTGAGTTTCTAGATTGTTTTGTACCACTTTGTCTTCCAGTCTTCGCACATAAGGCGATCATTGAAGACATTATGACATCTAAAGATGACAATCCAGGTGGATATTAGCAAAGTAAAGATCTATATAGGAGTCGCTTTCACCTCAGTGGTTCTTGTTGCTTCACCCGAGTTTAGCAGTATAAGGTTTTGGCTGTCCTGTGGACAGAGCAGATTATAAACCTTTGCCATTAGAGTTTTCGCCTGAATCCCAGATAGGGATCTGACATTGAAACCTCCTACCACTAGATACATAGGAGTACTGATGATATAATGTCTTATCGTTCATGTAAGCATTGGGAATTTGGATTTATGTGGATAACTTTGGATGAACTATCCAGATGGATGATTATTATTGTTCCACTGAGAATTGTCATAATGATCACAGCAGACGTTCCTAGCATGTTGAATTGAAATGGCAGTTTCAGCCTTTTGGGTAAGCATGTGGTACGAGGTTAAAGCCAATCAGAATGAATGAACTCCTTAGGATCTTGAAATAGTATAACAATAAAATTCATAGAGGTTCTCAAGGCAGTATATGCTTTCTCTGACACACCTTGCCATTTTATTCAACCTATCATAATGTAAAACTGGTAGAATCTGGTGCGCTTTTTTTACGCATGCGTTGGTTTCCAACTCGATTAGGCTTCATTTCCCCACCCCCTTTTTTATCTACTTCTGGACTTTTCTAGTTCCCCCTCTGAATGCCGATCTCCTTTACTTCCTCGGGTACACATCTGGACGCTGTTTTTTTAATGTATTGTTATTTGTAAGTAATACATTTACCACTCGCTGTTCAGAACTCCTGTTTCTTGCCCTGTTTGCCCAAACAAGGCAAGCGAATGATGACAGTCTAGTAAGTAGTCTATTAAAATGTGGCAGCCATTTTTGAAGAGGATGCATGCTGACTAATAGAGTATAAAAATACTCTTTCACCATCGAGCCCTATTCATAACCTCTTAACTTGGCATATCTCTGTTGTTTTCATCCTCTAGAAGCAGGTTGTGAGGAAGTGGCCTCTCCACTTGATGATCTGTAAACTTACCCAGTATGTATGGAACTAACTGGTACAGTTTTCAGATCTGACCGTTGATATAGAGATTCATCTATCCTAACGTTGCACAGCACCAGGCTCCAGGTGGTTAGCACTGAGACCAGTGGATTAGTCCTCGTCTTAGACTGATGTCTGAATGTATGCTAAAACTAAACTAAATTAAATCCAACATTAGTTTAACCCCGATGAAGAAAAATCTACCTTTCGAAAGCGCTCAGTTTATAATATTTCTTACTTTGTCTTTAGTAGTGATAATTCTGTGCTTGTACTTACAATTCAACTCACAATAATTATAATTGTAATAAAATCTAAACACTAGAACTATAATCAACAAATAACAACATTGTACTAAGCCTATAAACGAACAGATGGTAACACTGTATGTAAGAAGACAAACCCCAAATTAACACTGGGTGTAGGAAGACAAAACACAAATTAACACTGTGTGCAGGAAAACAAAACAAATTAACACTGTGTGTAGAAAGACAAAACACAAATTAACACTGTGTGCAGAAAAATAAAACAAACCAACACTGTATGTAGGAAGACAAAACACAAATTAACACTGTGTGTAGGAAGACAAGACACAAATTAATACTGTGTGCAAGAAGACAAAACACAAATTAACACTGTGCGCAGGAAAACAAAACAAATTAACACTGTGTGTAGGAAAACAAAACACAAATTAACACTGTGTGCAGAAAGACAAAACAAATCAACACTGTATGTAGGAAGACAAAACACAAATTAACACTGTGTGCAGAAAGACAAACAAATCAACACTGTATGTAGGAAGACAAAACACAAATCAACACTGTGTGTAGGAAGACAAAACAAATTAACACTGTGTGCAGGAAACAAAAATTTTAAGAAGACAAAACAAATTAACACTTTGTGTAGGAAGACAAAACACAAATTAACACTGTATGTAGGAAGACAAGACACAAATTAATACTGTGTGCAAGAAGACAAAATACAAATTAACAAAATTCAACACTGTA